ACAGAGCCAGGGAAGACACGGGCCTGTGGCTGGAGGGTTGCCTGGCCCGGCCTCCTAGCGTGGGGGCCCGGCCGGCAGAGAAGCAGCCATCACAGAGCCTGTCCGCGAGGTCTGCAAGTGCATCTTAAATCCCCCCAGCACACAGATAAGGACACGGGGACCTCACGTCACACATTCTGAGAAGAGGGGGGGTTCCAGGAGCCTTGTCTAGGTCACACGGCAGATTGGCGAGGGGGGCGGTCTAAGGTCTCCTAGTGGATGCTGATGTCAATATGGGAAGGGGGAGGGTGGTTGAGCCCACTGGCCTGGTCTCTTTCCCCAGTGTCTGGAGCAGGCACCGAGGGGGCACTGGGCACCAAAGCCTGGGTGCAGGGTGATGCCTTGGGCTCAGACCCAGTTCTGCCCCCACAATCCTGCCCTGGGAGCGAGAACTCGGGGTTCGAACGCTGGCACCACCACGTGCCCGCTGGCTGACCTCAGGCAAGCCTTCCTGCCTGGGGGCCTCCACTTCACCCAGAAAGAAATGTGGGGGGTGCGGGCGTGGGGGAGGCAGGGGCAGGCCCAGAGCCGGGCCGTCCCCTCCTGTCCCCCGAGGTGGACTCTCTCCCCGGGCCCTCACAGCCGGCTGCCTCTGGATGCGGACATGAAGTCTGACCGGAAACCCTTCCTGTCCAGGGGAATTACTGGTTTCCACAGCTCCGGGAGATGTTGAAATGCAGGCTGTGTTTGCCTTGGGTTTGTTTTCTTTCCGCGGAGAACAAAACAAAACAAACACATGGGCGCATGCACCCTGACACACAGGGCAGGTACCCGAATGTTAACCTTGAAGCCTCAGCCCCGGCACACAGCAGGGGCCCAGTGAGTGCCTGCTGGGTGAGCAAATGAACCCGGGGGTCCCGGGGGGGCGGGGAGGCTTGGTTGCCCCCTCTGACTTCCTGTGTGATCTCTGGCAAGGTGTTTCTGCCTGAGCCACAGACAATGGGAGGGAGTGATCCACGTTCCCTCCCCCCACCCCCCGCCCACTGGCCTGGTGCTCACTGGGCATCTGATCTGCACACTATCCCTGGGGAAGCTGGGGCTCAGAGAGGCAGAGGAACTTCTCAGCTTTGCACAGCCGAGGGAGGCAGGGCTGCTGGGCACGGGGCACTTTGACAGATCAGGACTCTAGTCCCCGGGCCTGGACAGATCTGCACCGGGGAGGCCAGCACCCCCTGTTGCTGCTGGCAGAGGGGGGTGCCCACTGCCCAGGAGGTGCTCACAGCTGAGAATTCTCTCCTCCTCCTGCCGGGTTGGGGTTGGGTCCCCTCTCCAACCACCTGCCAGGTCAGGCTGACTCCGGCCCCGCCTGCCACTTCACCCACCCGGAGGGCAGGCATCTGGGGGTGAATGTGCCAATAAGCGGCGAAAGGACTTGGTGGCTTCTGGGACTCACAGTACGCTCCCAATAACATGGGGGGGGGGGCACAGCCACTCTCTGCTTCCGGAGTTCGGGATCTCTGTTCCTGCATGTTCCCCGTCCCTCCCCCACTGTGGTCCCTGACCCCGAGGACCCACACTTTTCCTCTGCTCTGTCCCAGAGGCTGCGGTCTGGAGGCAAAGCCTCACCCACAGATGCATGGCTTGACCTATGTACTATGTAAATTTTTCGTGAGCTAGTTGCAAAAATTTAAAGTTAGAAAAATTCACAGAACAACCTGGGTTTCCAGCCCAAATGGTGTATTCTCAGACAGCAGCAACTGGCGGAGCTCCTGCCCACCGGCCTCCTCACTCACATCCCCCCGGCCCCACAGGGCCACAAGGGACCGTGGCTGACATTTCTTGGCTTTGTACATTGGACTCATCTCGGGGCTTTAGAATCCTGAGGCCACAGGCCAATTTCTCAAGCATCTCTGGGGTGGGACCACAGCTCCCGTAGGGATTCTGGTGAACGGCACAGGGCCCCCATGTGCAGGTGGCTTAAGAGCCGTGACTTCCTGTCCGTGGCTCTCAACAAGAACCCCACCTTGTGACAGCCCGGCCTCATCCTGACCTTGCTCAGAAGAGAGACCCTCTGTCCGCTCTCCTGGGGACTTGCCCAGAGGCCCAGGACACTTCAGATTTCTCCTGGTGTGATGCCCAGTGTGTGAGTCCCGCATCCTGGTCTTGGCAAGAAGGCCCAGTGTGGCCACAGCCGTGGGGCCCGGGCTGCTGCCTGCAAGGGAGATTCACTCCTATATATGGTCACCCGGGAGTCCCATTGCTGAGCTAACGTGTGACCTAATGTGCTGACAATCTCGCCCAGTCTGGGGCCCAACTCAGGGAGGGCCCTCCCTCTGGAGAGAGCATCCGCTTTGGGGCAGAGGGTCTGGGAGAAGGCAGATCGACAGCGTGGAGTGCAGGGCGGGGACAAGATGACCCAGACCCACTACAGCAGAAAGGCAGCTCCGAGACCCCCTACCCAACTGTGAAAATGTCCGGCTCCCCGCCGATGCTCTGTGTCAACAAGGAAACCCACGAGCCTCTGTCGCTTTTAAAAGTTCTTTTAATATAGCATGAAAAGGCTATATTGCTATAGGCGAGCTGTATACACATTTCCAGGAATAAGGCACACAACGGAATGCCATCCCGAGGGCGGCCGTTCGGAGACGCCGGGAGCCTTCTCCACGTACCCTCCGAGCCGGGCCCACGGGTTCTGTTTGTCTCTTTAGCTGGACACACACATACTAACAGATACAGACACGGACAGGGTCACCACCCGGGAGTGGAGGAGGTCCAACGGCGAGGCTGGCGACAGGCAGCGACGAGCCCTTCTGCCACCAGCCCCTGGGGGACGGCTCAGCCACCTCCCTGAAGGCCGGAACGCCTCCCAAACCTCAGGGTTAGTTGTTGCACTGGGCTACAATGTAGTGATGTTGGATTAAATATTCACTTAGAGGAGATTCAAGTCTATTAGATGTTGGAGGGCAGGTGTAAGGGCTCCGGGTGACAAATCCAAGTTCAAAGAGCACGGGGCCCAGAGGCGTGGCTCAGATGGCAAAACTCCGAGGAAGGGCCGCGGAGAAGTCTGCCTCCCGTTTCTTCTTCCCTGCTGGGCCCTGCTGACCCGAGCCCCCCACCGGGCCGAGGAGGCCATCTTTGGTGCTGGCCAACCATGGAGGGGCCAGTTAGCGATAATACGCTGGCTCTGTAACACTGATAGGCCCCTACTTCCCCCGGCCGCTCCCTGCCCCACTACAAAGTTAATAACCATAAAAAGAAGATAATAATAAGAAGGTGCAAGAGAATGGATTACAATGCTGTGTTTGTTATCCTCAGCCAAAGAGGCTCAAAGGGGTCACTATTCCCTTTTTGGCTACGTATCTAATAATAGCTTCCCTTAAAAAAAAAAAAAAAAAGCAATACTTTCCAAAATACACATACGTATAAATACAGGACACGAACATATTAATAAGTCTAAGCACTTTGATAATATGCTTGGCTACTTAATACTGATATTTTCATCCAAGGAAAACAACACAGAATAACAACAATATGGCTTAAAGAATTGCAAAGATTTTTTTTTCCTCATCAGAATTATGTACCAACTTCATATAATATTCTACGTAGACAATATTTCCTTCTTAATGTAGTTCAGTTGCATACTTTTTACAGATCAAAGCATAGTAAAAAAAAAAAGAAATCAAACCCAAAACAAAAAGAAACAAAAAAAAACCCAACAACAGGAAGAAAGAGAAAAGTTCTCACCATAAATATTTTCTTGCAGCTCAACCAGAAAGGTTTGCAAAATACTTCCAGAAATCTTCATTTGATATTCTACCACCCTCCTGAAATCTCCAAAGTTTTGAAAATGCCTTTTTGTTTTTTTAATCTCAAAGATCAAGCAATTATATTTTTTCTTTTTTCTTTTCTTTTTTTTTCTTAAAAAAAAGGCCCCTCAAATATATACAGACAAAAATCACTGTGAAGACTTTTCGGGAGAAGGTAACAAATTCAGTGTCGTGAGAAAAATTGGTAACCGGAAGAAATTTTAACATCTATGACTTTTCTTTTCAAAATACACACATAGTATTTTTCTTTAAAAAAAAAAAAAAGAGGAATCGTGTCAAGTATAACTCAAAATAAATACAAATTCACAAGTAGAGCTATCGAATACTTCGTATGGGTTAAACACTGTTATCTCCCAACTAGACCACTAGATCTACTAACTGCCAGCGATTGTCCCTTTTGAACATACAAACCACACGCTTTCTTGTCTACTGGGCTCCCAGGCCCTCTGAGCACTCCGTCCTCACAGTACCTGGCCTGGACAGCGGTGGCTTCTGCCGCCCACAGACAGCTCCACAGTTCAGCCAGGGCTGTGCCGGAGCAGGGGGTACATGAAGAGGCTGATTCAGGGCAGGAGGGCCTGGACCCCACACCAGCCAGCCCTGCACGGAAGGCAGGAGTAACGGCTGCCAGCTGGACAAGCCCACTGGAAAGGTCACTTTGGGGATGATATCCCATCTCCTACTGGCCCGTGGCAGGCTCTTGGACTCCAGGAGTCTGGAGCCTGGGTTCTTTTTAGGGTGTGGGCTTCCCCCACCGCTGCAGGACAGTCGGCAGGCTCGAGCATCCTGGGGCCAAGATTCCCCACCTCCCCTCTGGGGCCAGGTCCCCCGCAGGGCTGGGTCCCGGTCCTCCCAGTGGAGATGAGCAAGTGCACTGCGCACCATAGCGGACGCTACCTTCAGCAGTGCACTAGGATGACTGACAGTAACAGCTCCTCCGTGGGGACAGAGAGCCTCGGGCCAGGATGGTTCCAGCTCACCCTGACACCATGGAGAGACAGGACCCTGCTGGGAGGAATCGCTCGAGGGGGAGGGTGTTCACAGTGGCTCCCGGGCATTCTGCCCCTGTGGGTGGCAGGGAGGCGGCTCCGGGGCTCCGGCTGGAGCTAACACACTCTTGGTGAGTGCTCAGAGCGCATGGGCCCCTGAAATCTACCCTGCAGCCCCCCTCTACCCCCCCCACCCTGCTGCAAATACACTCACTCCATCTCATCGACGTGCTCCCTGGACCCCTGGTTAACACTTCACGGTAACTCCTCAGTTGTACACAGCATTTTCATTTGAAAACAAAAGGCGATCGGGCACCCATTGGGTGACCTTGAGCCATGGTAAACACTGAACTTCAGGCCCATTTCATGGTCTGATTTTTTTTTTTTTTCCCACAGAGGCATAATGTTGGGGCAAAATCAAGTGACCCAGTCCTGACAGTTGGCATTCTCCCTCTCCCTGGGAGAAAGGATGATGGGACAATAAAATTAGGACTTCTCACAGGGGAGAGAGAAGAGAGGCGAGTGCGATCCCTCCCGCCGGCCAGGACAATGGTCTGACCAACGTGACTTGCCCAGAGGCCTCCCTGCTCCCTTGGGAGGTAGGAAGTCATTGTCCCCATTTTATAAACGAGAGGTTCTGTAGCTTACATCATGTGTGACAGGGGATCCTTCTCCCTCACTTTTGCAGGGATGGGGGGCATTGGGCAGGGCGGGGCTGACAGGAGGACTGGCGTCCCTCAACTCTGTCCTAAGTGATGACTGATGGGTGGCGGTGTGCAGTCTGGGACTTGGATGGCCTCTCCGAATACGGCTCCATGTGAAGCCCAGCACTGAAACGGGCCTCTGGTCTTTGGATCACGCAGTCACAGAACTAGCGGGGAAACTGAGGGCCAGAGATGACGAGTTCTTCCCAAGGCTGCGTAGTGTGTCAGCAGCAGGGCCAGCACGTGAACCTGTCTCCAGGACACCAGGCTCGCGTCCCTCCTGACAGACTGCCTTCCCCACGGGGCCTCGATCGGGGGAGGGGGGGTCCTAGCATTGGGGGGAGGTGACGGAAAAGGGTAGGGAATGGGCCTGACCAAATCCAATCCCAAGTGGAAAATGTGTGGCGGGGGGCAGGGGAGGCATTGTCTGATATGCTCCAGGTCACACCGTGGAACACTGTCCTTGACCTCTGGGTCTAGGGTATGCAATGCGAATGATGTCCGAGGCCGTCGGGTCTGGGGCTCATGATGGGCAGCGGGCAGAGGTGCCCACTCCCAGCAGCTGCTAGAAAGGGTGTCAGCTCGCCAGGAGTGCTGACACAAACAGGACAGAAAAGTAGGGCTTTCTGAGGGCGGCTTTGCACTCCAGGCACACTAGAAGGTTCTGGGTACAGAAGGAGGCCTGGCTGGTCTTGGGGAGACTGTCCCCTGCAGGCTTTGGGATTCACAGTAAATTTAGTGCACTTGTGGCCAATACAAGGCTGCTCAGCCCAAAGCGAGTCTCAAAGGAAGGGAGCCTGCAGGGGATGCCAAGGGCTTTAGAGGGTCCTGGTGCTGCCCTCTCCTCACCCTTGCCCCTTCGTGCAGACCCCAGGCCGCCCTGTAGAGGGTCCCAGAGACCCGGCTTTCTGTGGGAGCAGCTATGTCAGTAACACTGTTTGTCAACACACACGAGACAAGAACGTAAGACGCCCCCTGCCTGGGCCGGTGAGGCTGCCCCCACGCATACGCGGGGACACCAGGCAGCACGGAGGGACACAGGGAGGGGGCGTGGTCTCTGGCTGGCGGGAAGGCGGCGGTGGGCGCAGCGGGCTGGCAGCCGGCTCATTGCACTCGGCGGCAGTAGTAGCCCAGCACCTTGCACTTCTCGCACAGGTGCTGGGGATGCTCCTTGCTCTGGTCGGACACGTCCAGGCCATCGGGCTTCTCCAGGGGTCTCTGCAGAGAGGAAGGAGGGAGTGGAGAGAAAGACAGAAACACAAAGAGAAGCAGGGGGAGTGAGACAGACGCAGAGAGAGACAACACCAGACAGACGTACAGACAGACAGACAGGGTAGGGATGCCCAGAGAGCGAGCCTGTAGTCACAGGCTTTGCCTAGGTGCTTGGACCCTTCCTGCCTCTGGCCTGTTGCAGGTGCGTGTCCTGGGCGGGGCCCCGCAGTAGGAGGGGCTCCTGGACCCGAGCAGTCTGGACACTCTGAGCAAGCCCAGGACAGAGGGCAGGCAGTGGGGCACAGACATTACCCAGGTGAGGAAACAGAGGCCCAGAGCAAGGAAGATCCAAGCCCAGTCTCCTGATTCCCCACACACCCAGAGCTCCTCCCCAGGCTGCTTGTTACCCCCGTGCTTCGGGGTGGGGGCAAAGGAGCCCTCAGCTCGGTGAGGTTAGCAGCCAGCGCCCCTCAGCCCAAGGCCCGGTGCTTTCCGTTGAATGGCCACATGAGCAGAACTTCACTACACGATTTTAGGGAGCCTCAGTTGCACCTCGTCTGTGGGGTAGCGGGGGGGAATCAGGTGTCTGGACGTTTGTACGCTAAGCAGCGTGTGGCATGTCCGAGAACTCTTCTGTGACATGGGGAGCTTCCTGCTCCCTCTTTCTCTCCTGTCCTGGTTCTCAAAAGGCAGGAAAGACTTATTCCCCTGGAAATTCTGTGGAGGCTATTAGGCACACCTCCTGAGGCAGTTTTGTGGCTGGCAGTCGAGGCCCCAGCCCAGAACCCCCACTCTGCACGGATCTGGGGGGACTCAAAGGAAGCTGGTCAGGGCCAGCCGGGACCCACATGCTAAGGAGAGGGGGCAGGAACTGAGACTGGTGTGAGGCCAGGGAGCCTCGGTGCCAGTGACTGTGACCAGGGACAGCCCTGGAGGGAAGCTGAGGATGAGTGCTGCCTCCTGGGCAGACCAAACCTCTCAAAAGTAGTGCACTGGCTTTACGCGATACCTGGCCTGAAGCCAACACTCACAGCTCTCTGGGACGTGGAAGAGTCACATGGGGTCTAGATGAGCCACAGGGACTGCGGATGGGCAGGGTTCTGATCCGAGAGTCATACCCATCTCTGTGCTTTCAAGCCTAAAGCCACACAGAGACAGCCTGCAATAAAGGACAGGAGCCTTGGCCTTGTCTCAAGAGGCTTTGAGATGACCGGCATTCCTGGCCAGAGCAGAGGAGAAAGAGTTTGGCTTTGTGTCGGATATGGGCTTGAACGACCTACAAGCTGTGTGGCCTTGGGCAAGTCACCAGATCCCTCCGATCCTTGGCTCCCCGTCTGCAAAAGGGGACACTGATCACACTTTTCTCACGGGGTCATTACATCTCAGTGAGTAGAAAGCGCGTAAGCGCGTAGCAGATAAAAGCTATTAATGTTGCTTGTAATGAGTATTCATGGGAGGGGGTACCACCAGGTAAAGGGTCACTGAAGCCACGATCCCTAGCTTGAAGGCCTCTGAAGGCCCCATCACCTGCTCCCCCAGGCATCTCATGAACACCGACAGCAAGCCATGGACAATCCAGGGCTGAGGAGCTCCCTGCTGGCTGAGCTCCCTGGCTACCTACTTGTAAGGTGGTTGTGAAGAGTACATCAGTTAATAAATACACGCAAAGCAACCTGGCACACGAAAACCAAAGTGTTGGCCAGTATTAATGTCACGTATCCTTGCTGCTATTATTAGTATTATGTAGGACTGGGGGCAGGCGGGGAGCGGGAAACCAGCTGAGTCCCGGTGGAAATGCCCCTGCAATATCCTCTCCATCCCTCCTCCTTGGCCGTGACCTTGTCCGTGTCCCTCCCCCTTCCCTCCCGGGGTCGGGCTCTGCTGAGCGGAGGAGCACAGCATGGGCGGGGCGGGGGGGGGGCGCCAGGATGAGTCCCCTCCATCCCTCCTCCCTCCGTGGAAGGAAAACATTCAGCTGCTGGGATAGATCATCCCAGGGCCGCCCCCACCCCCTGCAGGGAGGCAGAGCCCTTCAGTGTTTTCTTCTCCTGGGGCGCAGGGGAGCTGCAGCTGGAGCCTGACGGGAAACAGATGTGGCAGGGGAGGCAGGAGAGGGACGTGGAGGGTCCTCAGGGGGTGGATGCCGCACAGGTCAGCGCTCAGGGGGCAGGAGAAATGAAGCAGCCCCTCTCCGCCGTGGGGGACTGGACGGCGAGGGCTCCGAGTCTTCCTCTCAGCTCTTCAAAGGCCCCTGATGGCTGGGGAGTGGGGTGAGGGCACTCCCTACCTCACCCAGCCTGTAACCCCCCAGAGACAGAAGAGCCAGGGGAGCAGTTCGTGGAGCCCGGGAGAGGAGACCGGGGATGCTAGGTGCTAGGAAACTGGGTCCTAGGCCCCCTTCACACTGCCTGGCTGAGGGGCTAGCTCAAGCCCTATGGTCTCCCCGGGCCTCAGTCTCCCTGCTGCACACAGTAGGGCTCAGCAAGCAGAGCTGACTGACAGAGAAGGGAGGAGCAAAGCCCATGTTTCAGAGGCTCCTTCTGGGATGGGTACCCCTTCCAAAGCACAGTTGGCCTGGGGATGGTGGCACAAGGCACGAATGGGCCTCTTTGTGGAAGGGGCGCGGCGAGGAGCCCTGCACTGCCGGATGCTAGGGAGCCACTGCAGGGGAGCAGGCACCCTGACCACAGCCTGTGGGTGGGGCCCTGTTTCTCCACTCAGGTTGCAGAGGGTATGAGTGCTCTAAGGACTGAGCGAGGCTCCCAGACCCCCAGCACAGACCCAAGCCCCAGCCCGCCTCCACCGGCACACCTGAACTCCCTTGGGGGGCCCCTCCCCAGCCAGCCTCTGTGACGTGGCCTCCCTGCTCCCCCTTCCCTCCGGCCCCAAACTTGATCCTTCTTCATGAATCCCAGCTTCTCCTCTGACCTTGGGTAAGTCACTTACACCCCCTGCCTCTACTTCCCCCTCTGTAAAATGGAAAGACAGCAGTGCTGACCTCGTGGGGTAGCTGAGAGGATAACAGGTATGAAATACTCTTAACTTTCCCATCCTTGCCCTCTCCCATCACCAGGAGCCGCCTGCAGCCTCCTCTCTCTCCCCCACCCCCTCCTGCTCCCGGGAGACCAGTGAAGACTTCTCGCGGCTGAGCTGAGACACGGACTGACACCTGCCTGGCCTCCGGCCTGGGCCCCCAGCACTTCAACAGACTGTCTCCACACACAGTTGCAAGTTCAACCCCATTTCCCACCTGGGGACCTTGGGAAGAGCAGGGGGCTTCTCAGGGCCCTGCTTCCTCCCTGTGAAACACTGATGAACAGAACACCCCATTTGAGGACAGAGTATATATGAGGGGCATGTAGGGCTCAGCACATGGCGCCCAGAGGATGATTCAGGCCAGGGTTTCCCTAAAGGCCAGTTGCTAACCCTGTCCGATTGAATCCCGTCTCTGCAGGTGGAGAAAGGAAGGCCTGGCACCCCTGAACTTGGTCCTGCTTCAGCACCTGCACAGATCTGGCTCCGGAGTAGCCCTCAGCCAAGTGTGCCCACGAGAGAAGGAGTGAACCCCCCTGAACAGCACTGGCCACACCCAGGGGCCCTGGGAGCACGGAGTTCAGCCCGAAAGGCAGTGTGATCATAGGCACACGTGGCGGGAAAGGTGTTTTGGACTGGGGTCTCCCACCTCAGAAATTGCCGGGAAATCAGGAACCAGGACGCTCTGTCTCCTACTGCTGGCCCCATTCCCCGGATGTGCTCCCAAAACACTAGGCCCACCCACTGGGTCATCAGGCCTGTCTTAGCCCTCCTGAGCCTCGCTGCCCCCTTAATGCCATTAGGATGTGGGCCAGGGCCCACCTCTAAGGAGACCCCCGTCTGCTGGACCACGATGGCCCCAGCTTTGAGTCTGTTTGTCCTCCTGCCGCTGCGTGGTTGATGGGAACCACGGAAACCCCGTGGGGGGGGGGGCGATGGGGGGGAGGAAAGGTCTGTAAACAGAGGCAATGGAGGCCAGCAGGAGGGTCATAAAATCACAAAATGTTTCAACCAGGAGAATCCTCCCAGATGGCTCCCAAGTGCTGCTAGCAGGATAAAGCCCACACTCTACGCCATGACCTCTGAGCCAGTCCCAGGTGGCCCAGCGCCCACCCCCCACCTCTGCTTCGCCCCTCAGCTCCCCCAGGGCTCTGTGCCTGACCCTGTCCTCCCCACTTCGCACAAGCTGTTCCCTCCCGCTCGGCCACCCCCACGCAGCCCCCTGCAAATCTCCATCACAGCTCAGCCAACATCAGTGCCTCGGGGGAGCCTTCCCCAAGAGCCTCAGTGGCCCCCCCTCCCTTCCTGGCCTGCCTCCTCCACCCCTCTGCTCCTGTTAGCTTCTTGGTGACTTGGCCCACACAGGGAGGACTGGCCCCCACCCTGCTCCCCGGTGCCCCCACGCCATCGTCAAGGTGATCTTCTCTCTCACTGCCCCCCTGGCCGCACCCTGGACTTGTTCTTCAGAAACCTGCTTTCTGTGCAGCTCCACCTGGTCTGGGCTCTGCCTCATCCACTCCTCCCATCAGGGCCCCTCTGGCCTCTCTTCCCGGTCACCCAGCTGACATCCCAGGATCATGCGTGATCACACTCCTCCAAATATGCCAGCTCTTCGGCCTTCCTCCCTTGGAATACCATCCTGGCAAACCTCTGCCCCATCCACTGCCTCCAGCCCACTCCTGCCCCGTGACCCTGCTGGAGCAAGTCACCGAACCAGGCTGGCGGCGCCAGTTACAACCTCACACCTCCCCGGGCCTGGGACGCAGCTAGGGCCATGTCCTCCTCCGTCCTTCCCCAAGGCCCCCACAGCCCTCCTCACTCTCATTTGTAGCTGAAGACCTCCTGTCCTTGGAAGGGAAGCTCCTCTTCCTTGCACCATTAAAGCCACCTTCCTGGCCACCCCAACGTCCTTCCTGCCTGTGCCCATGGTAAGGCATCGCCCTCTTGCTCCTGTATCATCAGCCCTTTGCTTTCTTCTGGATCCTTCTCACTTGCCTGTGACATGTTCCAGGACTGCCCAGCTCCGTAACACCCACCTCAACGCCACCTGCCCTACTGTGGTGATGGCCGCATCTCTGTGCTCCTCTCTACAGTCAAACCCCCTTGAGCGAGTAGACAAGGAAGCCTGGCCGCACCAACCCCTCCAGCTCCCGTCATCACTGCACAGCCACCGTCCCAGACAACAGGTCCGCTAGGAATCGACATCTCCTGATGTCTGACCTGCAGAGCATCTGCTTAGTGGTTCTCAGATCTTAGTTGCAGTTCAACGAGATATGCCTGTAAAAGTGGTGCCCTGCGAAATTTGAGGACTACCTCCATGCTGCCAAATCTCAAGGGCACTCAGCCATGGCCATTATACTGGACATCTTTGCACCAACCACATCTGCCCACTTGACCTCCAGGACTCCATGCTCCCCGGTCCTGTTCCTTGATGGATCTTTCCCTCTTTCTGAGCCCCCAGTGCTGGGATTCTGCAACACGTGGACTGGGGAATTCTGTCTCTACTTTGTCTACATTCTGCAGGCAATCTCATCCACTCCCTAAGTGCCTCTAAGTCAATGATACCCAAGTACGTAGGAGACGCTGTGATTTCTCATATGAGCATCAAAGCAAATCCAACTGCCTTCTTGACATCTGGACTTATATTTTCAGGAACATCTCAAAGGTAACGTGTATCAGAGAACTCTTGCTTTTATTTGGGATACCTGGGTCTCACCCTGCCCCGCCCCCAGCCCAGGCTGCCCACCTCCATCCACTCAAGGGTGATAGTTCTGGATTCCTGCCCCTCCCTCCTCTTCCACATCCAATCCGGTGACACTTGTGTTGGACGCAGGTCCAAGGCCACCTCCTAGGTTCAGACCTGTTCCAGCATGCATGGGATAGCCTGACTTTCCCACTGGTCTCCTCGCTTTTGATCAGCCAGCCCCATCAAGACGAATATCTGCACACACCCAGAATAACCATCTCAAAATAAAGCTGAAAGTTCTGTTGCTCATGGGTTTCGAGGGAGCACCCACCCCATCCCACCCATTCCTCTCGCTCTGCTCTCCTGATTCTTCACTGAGGTTTGGGCCTTGAGCAGCCAATCCTTAAGACCACAGGGCATTTGTACCTGCTGTACTGTCTTCTTTGGATGGCTGTTCCCCACCTGGGACAGGCCTGGCTTCCTCCCATCCTTTAGGCCCCAAAGTAAACGGGCTTCCCCTTTGTAGCCTGCAGTGAGTAGATCCTCCCTGGAACGAGCTGCCTCAACACCTCTGTCCCCCAGCCCCCAGCATGCCCAGGTGCACCTTGGCCACCAGCCCCGTGCCCAGTGCCCGGTACACTGGGGCTGTCCTGTATACACGAGTCAAATAAGCGAGCAAATGAATGAGATACGTGTTCTCTGGAGCGAGTGCCCTGCTGCTCATCTCACAACAGCACCCCCAGCTCATTTATATAATTTCACCTGGGCTCTGAGGTCCCAGGGTCTTGGTGAAGTTGCTCCTTTACCCTCCTTCCCGGGGAAATGGCGCTCCCTCACCCCTATTTCGGACGAGATAAATGGGGCCCAATGTGGAGAGCTCTAGTCTCATCCTTGTCATATGTAGGAGTAAACCAAGGCCCAATAGGGAGAAAGTCACCCTCCCCGGCAATGTTCTTCAGAGAGCCCCTCCCACTCCCCTGCTCCCGGCACCCCCCCCACTCCCCTGCTCCCGGCGCCACCCCCCCCTCACCTGCTTATGCGGGTACACGTTGATGTGGCACTTGATGCACTCCTGCCCCATGTTGGCCCAGGAGTTCCCGCTCATCCATTTTCTCTTGCACTTGGGGCACTTATACTCGCCAAAACAGCGCTTCTTGCCCTGGTACGGGGTCAGACCTTCACCTTTGGGGCGTGCCTAGAGGAAAGGAAGCAAACATAGCGCATGGGGGTCCACCGGCCCAAAATGATGTCCCTACACCCCCCACCCCGCCCTGGTCTTCCCCTTCAGCCTTCATACTCCATGTGCAGGCACCTTTCGTCCCCATCCGGAAACACCAGGACCACCCCCAGGGCGCACCAGGGATCCCAAGGCTGGGAGACCCTCCCAGGGACACAGAGAAGAGAGGAGGTGCTGGAGGCTACACATCCTTTCTAGATTTCAGGGACCAAACTATGTGATGGTGGCCAGGAATTCCTTCTCTGACTCAGACGTCGTAAAAAGGCCGCCAGAGGCAACATGCACCTGTCTTTGGCCACACGGTGATGTGGCTTAAATGGTTATTGGAGAGGGGCGCCTGGGTGGCTCGGGCAGCTGGGTGTCCGACTTCGGCTCGGGTCATGGTCTCATGCGGTTCATGGATTCAGGCCCCACATCAGGCTCTGCACTGGCAGTGCAGAGCCCACTTGGGATTCTCTCTTTCTCTCTCTCTCTCTGCCCCTCCTCCACATGCACTCTCTTCCTCTCTCAAAATAATAACTAAATAAACCTAAATGGTTATTGGAGAGGCAACGCAGGCACAACGCATGCAACCTGGTACCCGTGAACGTGTGTCTCCCCTCCCCCTGGTCCCGGCCACGGCTCCCCTCCAGGAGGCCAGCTTCGCTTCCTTCGCGCCACCCCGGGGACGGCTCCGCATTTACAAGCACACACAACACGTACACATGCATACTCGTCCCCGTCCCTCAACTGAGGGACACGCTGTACATTCCATTCTGCACCCTCCCTCTCTTACTGAATAAGCTATCTCAGGCTTATTATGATGGTGAGATATACAATAACCCATCTCTTCCCTGCCATCAGTACAAACAGCCCTGCTGCATCCTGTCTAACAGCTCACAGCACGGCGTCTATGCCAGCTCTGTGGGGCGTGCCAGGCGCACGACAGACTGTCTGGGTTCTCCCGCTCTTCCACTATTACAGACGGCGCAACAGTGCATAATTGTGTGTGTGTGTGTGTGTGTGTGTGTGTGTGCACGCGCGCACATGTGAGGGGACACGTGGGAGATAAATTCCCAGAAATAAAACTGCGGAGTCAACGGGTATGTGCACTTTTAGTTTTTGAGGATAATGATGAGCAGCCCCTGGCCCCCGCCCCCACCCCACTGCAAGGGTTCCAACTTAATGTCCCACTTCCTCCCCAGAATAGCTGTCCCTGTTGCCAATCTGAGAGGTAGAAAGTCTTCTCAGAGTAGCTTTGTCTTGTATGTCTTATATTACGAGCAAGAGAGAATTTCCCGTGCATTTAAGAATCACTGTGCTTCCTTTGTTAATGTGTGATGTGTGTGGGTGTGTGTCCTCTGTAATCTTTTCACCGCTGGGGTTTGTTATTTTTCTTCTTGATTTGTAACTGCACTTTATCTATTGAAGGGACTGATTCTCCTCTGCATGGCATTTTTGGTTTTGGGTTTAGCAGCTTTGTCAAGGTATGATTCACATACCCCGCATTTCACCTGTAAAGGTAGAGCATTCAGTGGGCTTTAGTATACTCACAGAGTTTTATGTTACCCTTCACCACAATCTAATTTTAGAACATTCTGTCATTGCCCCCCACCTCAAAAGAAACCCTATATCCATTAAGTCACTTGACAGACTACCTCTACCTTCTCACCCTACCTAGCCCTGGGCAACAATTAATCTACTGTCTGTTTCTATAGATTTCTCTGTTCTAGATAGTTCATATAAGAGGAATCACATAAGGGCCACCTGGGTGGCTCCGTCGGTTAAGCCTCCGACTTCAGCTCAGGTCATGATCTCACAGTTCATGAGTCCAAGCCCTGCGTCAGGCTCTGTGCTGACAGCTCGCAGCCTGGAGCCTGCTTTGGATTCTGTGTCTCCTTCTCTCTCTGCCCCTCCCCTGCTCACGCTCCGTCTCTGTCTCTCAAAATTAAATAAACATTAAAAAAAAAAGAGGAATCACACAAAAATTGTCTCCTTGTGTCTGGCTTCTTCCATTCGGTGTAATGCTTTTAAGGTTCATCCATGCAGGAGCATGTATCAGACCTTTATTCCTTCTTGTTGCCAGATACTATCCCATTGTGTAGACATGCCGTATTTTCTTATTCATTCATCACGTGATAGATGTTTGGGTGGTTGCTAATTTTTGGCTATTATGAATTATGCTGCTATAAACATTTACATACAAGCTGCAAGGTATTTTATTTTATTTTATTTTTTTGCAAGGCATTTTATAAAGTTGGATGAGTTGCCTCAGTATTCAAAAATGGGAGATTTCAGGGGCACCTGGGTGGCTCAGTCGATTAAGCGCTGACTTCAGCTCGGGTCATGACCTCGCAGTCTGTAAGTTCGAGCCCAGTGTCAAGCTCTGTGCTGACAGCTCGGAGCCCGAGGCATGCTTCAGACTCGGTGTCTCCCTCTCTCTCAGCCCCTCCCCTGCTTGTGCTCTGTCTCTCTCTCACTCTCTCTTAAAAATAATAAGCATTAAAAAAAAGTTTTTAAAAAGAAAATGGGAAATTTCACCTAGAAATAGGACCACATTGGTCCAGAAATCTTGCTGGTGACTATCCGCTGAGGCTGGGGAGTGGCCCCATCACACCGACTACACATCCGCGGCGTCTGTTCCGACCAACTGCTCCCTGCATTTACATCACATACCTGGCACTTGCAGGCTTTGGTCTGAGACAGGCTTACCCACAGGTTCTCCACTGCGGATATTCAAAATGTGGGCACTAGACTGGCATCCACAGCATCACCTGCAAGCTTGTTCGAAATGCGTGGACTCAGGCTCCGCCTTAGATTGATTGCATCAGAATCTGCATTTTAACAAGAGCCCCAGGGAATCCCTGTGCCATTAAGTTTAAGAAGCTCCAATCGTCTGGGCTCCAAGGCGATTGACCTCTACAGTCCTGCTCCTCTCCAGCCCGTTCGCGCATAAAGGTCAAGAGCACAGACTCGGGACTGAAATCCTAGCTTTGCGATCTTGCGCAAGTTACACAGAGATAATGACAGGAACCGCCATCCGACTGTTTTGAAGATCACACGAGATAATGCATGTAAAACACTTAGAACAGTGCCTGATACATAAAACGGCAGTATTTGTTATGATTATTGTTTACTAGTATAGAAGAACAGCAGCATACAAAGCAATGATTTCTTCCTTCAGGAACCATGTCTCTTATTCCCAAGAGCCAATACCGCCACTCGGTGACAGCCTGCTAGGATTTCAGGCAACACACTAAAAAGGGACACAGGTACTGAGTGTGTAAACCTAAACTTAGAAAGTGACAACAATACTGTCCTGATCTTTCAGGCCTGCTGCCTAATGTGTCTAGATCTTTACTGGCCTTCCTGGCGGCCGTAATATCCTGGGGAGGAGGTTCAGCCCGAGCTTGGAGGCGGGGCTGGCTCCCAGCACTGGCAGGTCTGAGAGAGAGGCTGGTTGTGCCAAGGGGGACACTCGGCAGACAGTCAGCGTCAGGCTCCAGCCAAATTGCAGCGGAGGGGTCAGGCGTCGAGCTCTGCAGGTGTGAAGACAGCGGGTGCGCAGTGAGCCCTCGACGCCCTTCTGGTGCCCCCCTTCCTCCCTGGTGCCTGGTGCCCACAGCGTCTAAGCAACCCTAGCTTCTCTGGCCTCCCTTCCCAGCAGTCCCGAAATAAATACTAGGTGAACTCCTTCCCTGGCATCTCCATTCATAATGGCACCTACATTTAAAAGGGGGGTGATGGTAGGCATGGGGTGCCTCACCAAGGGTAGCCCTTGAGACTCCTTGATTGAAGGGGGAAATTGGGGGACCACCACCAGCCAGGCCCACTCTGGGATCTGGCTCTACAGGCTTCTTGATTCAGAAACCGACAGGCCGTGCAGCTGGGGTGAAGGGCCGGGGGGCAGGGCACCAGAGGGAGGGGGCCAAGCCATCCTGGGGGTCACTCGACAGAGTGAAAGGTGAGGACGGGGGCAGAGCCGACAATTTGGTTCCCAAAGAGTCTCTGCTTCGGAAGGAAACCCACATGAAAAAGATGATACAGAATGTGCGCCAAAGAGAGAAGCAGGCGGATGAGAAGAAGGACCGAGGTGGGGGGGTCGGAAAGCATCACCGCACCGTGTGAGTAGAAAAGCACTGTCTGGAGGTGCTATCCATCTAGTAGGGAGCGTGCACCGCTGGGCAGGGCCCAGGGACGGGGGCCAGGCCTCCTGCGGGACCAGATGTCCTCAGCACTTCCCCACCCGGCCCTCAGGCCAGCCACGCACACCCCGCTGCGTGGGACATGGCGCACACCCTGGGTGTCACGGCCAGGTGCCGGTGGTCACATTCTGCCTCTGCTGGGATGATCTGGGGGACTCAACCTTTCTGTGCCTGGGTTTCCTCATCTGGAAACCAGGATAATGGCAAGGGCCCAGCTCCCCAGGCCGCTGGAAGGATGGGGTGCACTCATGCACAGGAAGGTGGTAGCTGACGGCTGGACATTACAAGTGCTCAGTGACCATTAGCAATTTCAGTGTGCTTCTCTCCCGGGGCTGGTGCAGGGAGGGGTAGCAGCTGCATTCTGGTGATGCAGAGGCTGCGGCTGTGATTTACACAGGAGGAAAGCCCCTGGAGATGGGAGGGCGCTGGTAGAGGGTGAGCTCGGTATCCCCCAAGATGGGGTAGGTGGCAGGCAAGAAAGGGACTGCGTGAGGTGTTTTCACCTTCTGAAATTTTCAGGGAGGAACCAGGAAAGATAGGGGAGGGCCACGGAAACTCTGGGTTGCTGCGGGCAGAGAGCAAAGGGAATATCATCAGCCCATTTAACAGAAGGAGAGACTAAGGCACGGGGAAGGGGGCAGGACTTGCCAAACAGCTTCTGATGTGTGAGAAGCAGGACTAGGCCCAGCGGGCTTTTCCACAAGGCTACGTGTGGCTTCCCTTTTCTGTCTGTCACCCCCCGAGCGTGTCCCCGCCACAAAGCCGAGGCCTGTA